GGGGCGCACGGGGCGGGGGCGAGCTCGGTCCCTGCCAACTTCTATCGGCCGCTTGCGGCGTGGCCGCCTCTTACCTGGGTCCTCGCAGCCCGTCTCCCAGGGGCTCCCTTCCACCCCCAGCCGCCTTCCCTGAGACTGCCTCCAGAGCCCAGAGGGCTCGGCAGCCAATGCAAATCACCCGCACCCGTCGGCGCCCCACGCCTGCTCCAGGAACCGGGCCTAATGCAACATGTCGCGGAGGGAGGATGCACCACCAGGCACTTCAAGCCGGTCCTGTTCCCAGCCCCCAAAAAGTCTTCAGGAGCAACACGTTGCCCAGCAGCAGCATGGGACCGCCCCTTGCCGCAGGGATATGCAGATCAGGTGGCTCCAGCTGTTTTCAAAGCTGTGACTTAGGAAGAGGCAAAGGAAGCAGGGAAGGTGCTCCTACGTCTGCCAGTTGCGGAATCCAAAATGAAAGAGTAAGGTTTTCGGTAAGACTGGCTGCTCTGTTACCCTACCCTTGGCTAATAAAGAAACATCTGCCCCTACAGTCTAAGTAGAAAGTGGGTTGATAACTGTTTTCCAAAAATTTTTCCCCATTGAGTTATATGAAGGCGGATTATTTTATTCTAGAAAACATTCTAAAGGAACTTTGTGCCTGTTATTCTCCCCCCTCCCCACACTGAAAACAGAGCTCAGGGTTTATTTGGAGGGTTAAATGAGTCGGTACATTGTGTAGGACTGCCCCCAGGTTAGGGGAAAGGCCTGGGAAAATTCCAGTATAAAGTAACTGATTACTTATCTTCTACTCTTAGGAAGATCCTTTATCAGGCTGTATCTCTACACAATAGATATTTAAGCAGTGGAGGGAGCATGATATAGGGACGTGGCAGATAGAGTACGAACATAAGAACCAAAATGAATATTAGAAATTTAAACAATGTGTATCAGCTTTCCAAATGCTACTATGCCAGCTGTAACAGAAAAAAATATTTACATGTACAAAAAAATGCTCCATGCCATCTTTATCCCCAAATTCAACTGCCTAATCAAAGATAGCACAGCTGTCTCACATGAAACAAACAGAAGCTGCATCCACACTTAATGTTTCTAACAATTTTTTTCTTATGTCCAAAAAAGCCAACTAAGTACTCCAACATGGTTTACAAAACAGTATATATCAGCTATTAATTTTCAGAGATGTCTTAATAGCTCAAATATTCTTTACACTATGATAAAGGGATATCTACATTTTTGAACAAAATATTACAAATTTGATTGAGATAGTAGGGGGATGGGATTGTTACTTTTTTTTTGTCAGCCAGAGTTTAGCAAAAGTCACACTAATATTTTTTGAAAATCCAGAGTGTTTTAAACTGTTCAAAGCCCTTTCTTCATCTGCCCCCACTATCATTCCATTACTTTTCCTGAGCCAAAAGGTCCTCAGCTGAGGCTACTCTTTCAGTAAAGGGTGTCCTCCATTTGCTCTAGTATAAGCTATTTCATGAATCAGACATGGATTTTTAAAATAAAATTTAGTTGACATCCCATAAATCAATTTTTAAACAGGTAAGATTTTTAAAATGTCAATTTGAAATAATCAAATGCCCAAAGTCAGGGAATAATCATTACAAAACTATTGCAATGAGAGTTTAGAGTTTGATGGCATTACTCAACTCAGAGAATTTATTCAAGTATGCTCTGGTAGGAGCGGTGTTGAATGCACTGAAAATCCTTTTATGGGATCTAAACAGTAATGGTAACTCTATTGAACTAAGGAGAGAAGGAAGCAAGGATTGTTATTTCATGTTTTCATTGATGACAGGGAGAATTTAACACATGTTAATGACATCCAGATTATACGGAATTGGACAGCATTACTAACATTGACCAGAACAGAGAAATTTCAAGGGATCTATAAATTTTAAAAATTGGCAGAAAGTTTGGATAACTGGAAAAAAATCTGAATGAAGTTTACAGTGTTAGAGAAATATCTGGAAAGCAATAATGCTGAAAGAAATCCAGTGGTGAGGGTAGCCAGGATGTGTTTGCAATGCAATAAGCAAATATCAGAAAAATCTTACTGCAAAATTGGGCTGAATAGGTAGACATTTCAAGGAGCAGCAAAAAGATGGTAATTCCAACCCTATGAGAGGCTGATGTGACCACATCTGGAGAACTGTATTCCCCTATGGGCACTTCATTACTAGGATATTGACAAAATTTAGCAAATTTAAAGCATATCAAGTGATGGAGGAAGGGATTTATAAAGGAAACATTAAAAGACCCAAATGCAACATGTCTAAGCAATATTAAAAAGTGACTGCATTATGCAGGAGAGGGGAAGAGACATTCTGGACTAAATTTTCAGGCATGACACCATGGTAAGCACATCCAGATTAAAAAAAAAAAAAAAAATCAGGCCTCTGTATTGTCTCAAGTTGAACACCAGAACTGGAGAAACCTTTCCTAGTCACTTCTGAAAGCACATAACTACAAATAGACAGAATATGCACAGCGGGGGTCTCATCCTTTCACCACAGGGTCTAAACTCCTTCCAGGATGTTGTTAATGGGAATTACTGTCCCTAGAGATGAAAAGGAATTCTTAGGGGTTGTATAAAAGGGGTAAGATGTAAAGATGGCATGAACACATCATATAGTTACAAAACTCAGTCATTTGAAACAAAGGGTAATTTAAGATGAAGATTAAGCAAAAACTCATTTGACACTCACCAAGGAAACTGTTGGAAGCCTTATTGCTTAGAGACCATTTAAAATCTGACTGGACAAGATCTATTGCAAAGAATGAGCCTACACTGATAAGGAGAGAGGCTGGATGATCCCAACCTTTTTCTATCTTTAATTTTGAGGATTCAGGAATTGAAATTAAAATTTCAATTTAATTTTAGTTACTGAGGCTCTACAGCTTTAAATCAAATCACAAAGACAGCATATTCACATGCTGTGCTCACATTAGTTAATTGCATTCTTGTCACAAGATCTAACAATGACCCATATTGAAACACTGTTCCCAGCCATGATTTTCAAATTTAAACAGTAAGTCAAGAATCTTTACTCAAAATAACCAATTTACATTCCATATGCATAAAAATGTAAGTGGGATGGCAAGTTTGCTCTCTAGGATTATTTTGCACCTTTTTGTAAATATTTAACATTAAAATGCAAGGTTAGGTTGTCAGATTATTTGTTATTTTCTTCCCCCTTCCAGAATATAGTTTTTTCCATATCTCATGTTTGCTCTTTTTGTATGAAAACAGTAATACAAATGAGTTTCACAATTCAGTATGCTCTAATCCATGCATCCTTTATTCCATTACAACCACTGTGTTGCATTTTAGCAACAGTACACAAACTGCAATCAATCGCAATCAATTTTTACAACAATCTGAGGCTTACAGTACATTTAAGGCCTTTAAATTTGGAAAAAATTAGACCTATAGTAGTAGTGTAACAATTGTAAGTGTCTTGCATTTCTGATGCATATTTCTGTGCGATTCCAGTGTCAAAGAATCAAATTACTTCTAAACTAAAAAGATTAGCTCAATGAAAATTTAGTTACATAAATTCATCAAAACATAAAATGTTAATTTTTTGTCCTGGAAACCTTATAAAATTTTAATAGCAAAATAATATAGGGATAAAAACATATTTTAACAAAATGTATTCAATCATATACAAACCAGAATTTTGAAGTTTATTGTAATTAGATTTAAATTAAAACTACCAATCAAGAATCTATGCACAATGTAAATTCAAATATGTACAGTACTTTTAAAAAGTCTACAGGAATGCTTTACAGAAGGAAATGTTATGGCTCTTATTCAGACCATCTGAATATTAAAAGGAGTTTTCTATTAACGAATTTACATTTTCATTAAACAAAAACAAGTTAGTCAATTTTTCGTTAAGAATATTCCAGTTATATTTATACAGAAAATGGCTGAGAGAATTTAGCCCCTTGTAGTAGGGTGGCTTTTTGTTTGTTTGTTTTTCCAGGAAAGAGTAGGACATCTTAAATAATTTACTTGGGAAGATCAGTTAGTTAACAAAAGATCACTAAGAGGAAAAACCTCATCACAATAACTTGCCAGTTACAATACCACAGCTAGAAATTTACAAAGAAAGTACTCCCTTAGATTGAACCCATGAATCGATTATTAAGAACAAGCTGTAATTCATAACAGTTGTGTTCCAAATACTGAGATCATTGAAAAAAGTCTCCTAGGCCAGTATTATAAATGATCAGAAGATAGAGAAAAACTGACTTTAGAATATTTAATACAGTAATAGGTAAAAAGGATCCCCATATTCATATCCCAATGTCCGCCAAGGTAATGAAACTAAAATCATTGGAGTTACAGTAGTTGACCATATTGTGTGCATTAGTAGAATAATTTCCAGATATAAAAGACAAGTTTCATCAGATGTTTGATTAGAACACCCTAAAGACAGGTATTTCTTCATAGTGTAAAGCTATTACAGCTATCCAGTTAAAGCATGTGCAAAAACAGGTCATTTCTTCCATTCACAGTAACTGAGGTAAAATCAAGTAGGCTTCTTCAGGAGTTGGGGAGTTCATGAGATATGAACTGTTTTAGTCTTTCTAGATACTGTGCATAAAGCTCTATGTCATTATGCCCAGCCCCTTCCACCCAGAGGGGCTCCACTGCTCGTGGACATCGCTCATACATTGCCAGGCCATGGGAGAAATCTATTACCTCATCTTCGGTACCGTGAATTACCAACACAGGAGAGGTTACTTTAGATATCTTGTCAATGCTGGGGGGGATGAAAAAGAGAGAGAGGTTATTTGGGGTTTTAATTTTTACATTGATAACAAAAAAGTTTAATTAATTTCTAAACTCAATTAAGGAATAGTGTATTTTTTAAACAGATGTCCTATTGACTTACCCACAAAACAGGTGAAGCACAGATACCTGCCAGTGCAAGCTATCCTTTTATCACCATCATGCTACAAACTCTTAACAGTAAGACCACCATCCACTCTTCTGCATAGTCAAATCTTCGTCTTCTTAGTGCATATCATAATAGCTAGAATGTGGACAGTTTTCTAACTCAGAACAACCTGAGCCCACCAATGCAGTCCCACAGAGACTAGGGGTGAAACCAATCACCATGTCTGAGTTTGAAATAGTGACCAATGTAGCCGACAACTAAACTAGAGACATTTGGATCCCTAATCCCTTATAGCCCTTGAGAATAGGGTTATGCTACAAATTATACTACATTTTTAATTATTTTCACTTCCAGATTCTCATTGCTGTATTGTGCTAGAGTACATATTAGGACTGAACACATAAAAGGGAAATATTTAACTGCAAACCAACACCAATTAAAAAAAAAACTGGCCCAGGATTTGTTTCATGGAAACATTTATGTGCATCTTGGGTTTTGAATAAGCTTATTTTTCACAACCTACATTTGGGGAAATGTTGACAAAGTAAACATTTAACTTAGACACAAGCTTTTTTTAAAAAAAGTTTGGTAGTATTTCTATTGGATTTTTTTATTTTGGGGAGAGAAGGGTGGGAGGAAAGGAAAATAATTAAACCACTACAGTAGCTATAGTTGATTGCAGTGAACAATCATGAACTGATAGAAACAACTTTTTACCCACCTCTAATTTCTATGATTTGTTACAGTTGAACAGTAATTAAAGGGAGTCAGAATTTTGCTACTCCTAGAGAAAGTGAAGGGAGTTAAACATCTAAATCAGAAAGTGACTGTACAAAAATGAAGCTTTATCTATCTAGTTGCTCAAAATGAGCAAAACCCAAAAATACAATGTGACAATTTACAAACAAACATAACATTTTGAAAATACAGATAATTCAATTCAAACAATTAAATATGAACTGCAACAGAGAACGTCACAGAGCTATTGCTAAACAAACATTCTGGTCTCACTTTACATCCCAGTATCTCTTCAAAACAGACTATACAAGCTTAAACGTTAAAAAATACAGTCTTTTGATTTTGAAATTACAGGCAGTACCTGTACAAGATAGGGACTGTAGGTTTGTTCTTAAGTTGAATCTGTATGTAAGTCGGAACTGGCATCCAGATTCAGCCGCTGCTGAAACTGACCTGCGGCTGACTACAGGAAGCCCGAGGCAGAGTTGCTCTGCTCCGGGCTTCCTGGAATCAGCCGCTGGTCA